CGAATTGTCAGATTTTGTTAGAGGAAGGATAGTTGGTCAAGCAGATGGTGGAATAAGTCAGCGGGAATTTCGCAGAATTTGGGAATCCCGCTTTCAAAAGTCAACAGAATCATCGTGCAGTTCAGGAAACACGGCAAAATGTCAGGAGATTGGCTCGGCCAGGGCAACTTCTGGATACCATTTTCTTCCTGCCACTTTTGGATGTTTCTAGCAGTGTGACACGGTGCTCCATCTTCCTGGAACAACGTTGTGTTCTTGTCCACGAAACCCGAGGAATAAAGTGGCAAGAGTCCTTCCTCCAATATTTCAACGTATTTTGCAAAATTTATGTTGCCAATGCACTCCACTAAGCTCGATCTCCCACCAACCCAAACAGCTCCCCAAACCATCATGCTGAAACCACCATGCTTCACAATTGGTTGCAATCTGTTGATCCAAAACTCTTGGTGAGGCATTCTCGAGACCCATATTTTTCCACTGTCCGAAAATTGAGCAAATCTTGATTCGTCTGAGAACAATACAGTCTTCCAAAAGTCCAGAGGCTTGGTCATCATATCACTTGCCCACTTCTTTCATCTGACTATGTTGGCAGGTCTTAATAAGGGCTTCAGTCTAGCTGCTCTGCAACGATAACCCAATCTGTGGAGAATCCGTTGAACAGATTTCGGGCTCATCCCACAAATTTTGGCCACTTCTGCAGTCGTTAATCTGGGATCCATTTCAATGCTCCTCTTGACAGCCATTTTTTGTCCTCTCCGATGGACCAGGACGACCCAGACGCTGCTCAGTTGTTTCGGAACCCCATCGAAAACCTCTGGGCCATACTCGATCAGCAACTCAAGAAACAAACAAAAAACCAACTTCGAAGAGCGATCTACTCCAAGTTTTGAAGCAAGAGTGGGCGAAAATCCCACAATCTAAAATTGACGAGATTATTCTCACGATGCCCAAAGGATCAACGAACTCCACGAAGCGAAAGGAAGATCTACTAGTTATTAATTAACTTATAAATATATCAGTTCATGTGAATATGACTGAAAAATTTCATTTTTTCTGAAAAGGTGGTGTCTATTTACTTGTGACCATGCTGTGTACATGTTATTACATGTAGGGGGTGGGAGTTTCATTCAAATGCTTGGCACACATGCAAAAGCTTTCCTACTAGCATGGGGACAATACATTTCTCATACCTACTTTCATAGGGCTAGTATATTTCTCACACCTCCTAGCATGGGGCTTGTACATCAAAAATGTTTACACCCTTGCCATGACATGATCTTACACAGTGAAAATAATTTCATCACTTCCTAAATTTTATGACCACAACAAAGTCAGTGATAACTTCACCAAGTACTACCACTTGGAAGATTATTTGATATCCTTGAACAAGGGTAGGAATAAGCCAGAGACAGTAATATTCATGATTCATGGAAGATACAAGAAATGGGCCAAATATGTTTATTAAAATAAACTGCATGAAGGAATCCATTAAATGTGGTAGCATGTTGGAAGACTGGAGATTATTTAACACCAAAATGAATTTAAAGGAACTATGCCCAAGTAATTACTGACCAATTAGTCTTACTTTAGTAGTTGTGAAATTATTAATCTATAGTTAGAGAGATTCTTCAACAAAATTTAGACAGGTTTCACATTATCATAGATAGACAGTATGGATATGGAAAGAAATGGTCATACCTAATGAATTTGACAACTCTTTTGGGGGAAATTTTACGTTTCATATAGATATGGGTAATGCAGTGGATTTGGCACACGGGGATCCATTGTGGTAGTCTTTCTAGAGTGAACAAAGTCCAGATGTTTAACGCTAGATAGTGTGGAAATTACAGTCTCTGTGTAATTCATGTTGCAGAAAATAAAAGCCAAAGTCTGCAGAGATAGAACTGTTTGAAAATAATAAAAAATATTTCCACAAAAGTTGTGTAGATATTTCAACCAAACATTCATGTCAAGAAGTCTCATGCAAGCAAAGAAAGACATGTCTTAACAAATGAGTGGCATATCAAGAAGTGATGATTGAACAATCAGTATAGAGGGAGCCAGCTGTGCTAGGAGTCTGTGTCGCACTCCTATTGGTGAAGGGTTATCACATGTTCATTTGTGAGCAACAATGCAGTAATATCACATGGAAACACGAGAGTGGGTGGGAGCCTTAAGGCTAGTGGCGAGCAAAAAAGTCTGCATACAGAGAGCAGCACTGAATTGGGAAAACTAGGTGTGAGCAGAATTTACTTATCGTATTGGAATCATAAGTCCAGATGAATGTTTTGTATAACACTCAGACATGCCTCCAGTTAAGCTGATGTTACTTTTATAACAGGATGGTCAGTGTATGAAACAGTTTGATCCCAGGTGTGGTTGAAGCAGAAAATTTAACGAGTTAAGTTTTTCATTTGATGTTTTGTGTTCATAAAACAGAAACAATACAAGTACATATAAATAACCTAGGATACTAAAGAAATGCTTTCTGCATTTTTGCAAAAATTACCTATGTACAGTTCCTGAAAGCTTCATATGAGACATGTGCGTTTCAACAGGCATTGCTGTTGGGTTACATATGTCCAAGCAGCTATTTAAAGAAACATTATATATACATTATGAGGTAAAAATAATTCAAGAACATCTTCTGATCAATGATTTGTCAAATTCTGAAAAAAAAAGACTAATTCTCTTACAAGATATTACTGATTCATACAAAACATATTTTGAAGAAGCTTTACTCAGAGTGCATTAATATGGAATTAAAAATAACATTCAAGTGGTGTACTCTGCTATGGTATGTGCAAAATATTTTTACGAGATACGGAGGTCCCACCAGTCCTGAAAAAACATACACAGAGATTATGAGATACAGAGGTCCCACCAGTCCTGAAAAAACATACACAGAGATTATGAGATACAGAGGTCCCACCAGTCCTGAAAAAACATACACAAAGATTATGAGATACAGAGGTCCCACCAGTCCTGAAAAAACATACAAAGAGATAAATATAACCCAAAAGGGTTAAGTGGGGATTGAATGGGTATTTGAAATACAAGGTATAAGAGATTATAGATTTCTACACAGTTTGAAGCATGAAATCAATGGTAGAAGCAAAAGGGGTAGCCTAGATGGGCCTTGGAAATGAAATCATCTCTCTTCTGTTCTTAATCTTGTTTACTGAACACGGTAAATATAACAGTAACTTATATAAGTAACTATAAAGCAGTTTTATTTTTATATTTCTTTGTGTTTGAAAGAAAAATGTAATAACCAATAACCTAGCTTTAAGAACACTAACATAAAATAATTTTAAATGTTACTAAAATTATCCACCAATAATCACAATGTATGTAATGAATGTGCAATATTATATTTGCATTATTGCCATTTTATTCATATATTGTTTCATTTATTAATAACATTGCTTACTATGTTAAATATAATTACATTTATTTTAATTTGTTGTTAATTACTGAACTTGTATTATAAAGACTGATTTGCATTGTTGGCTTAATATTTGTATTTAAGGTATTATCATGAGGTATTATTTGGTTTACAGCTGAAAATAGTGTAAACAGTAAAGGTACCGAACTAAAGAAACATTGCATTTTAATCTTTACAAAAGGTATGAAAAACATATTTACTGATCTATAATGATAGACAGATTAATTTTTAGTTTCCAAGTACATAGCTTACTCTAATAAGAAATTATTTATAAATGGGGTTTCTACGCACATACAGTAGCACACATTCAGATCTATCACCTAATTATTATACTTACATTATTATCTACAACTATATTTACATAGCATGGTTAAAGGCTAAAACAGCTTTTGGCACCATTACAAAACCAATACACAATATATTCTGCTTATTCCCTAACCACTCATTATAACATTTTTGGAAATAATATCCCACACTTTCTTTTCTTTGATGGGTGATCAATCAATAGAGGATGTTATCAATATCACTGACTCTAAGCATCTGATGGGAAGTATTGGAATTGACTTGATTTATGTATATATTAATATTGTGATGTAAAAATGGTAAGAAATTAAAAATAAATAAAGCACTAAGATAACTCAGTATTTTCCCCAGGATTTTAAAAGAAATCTGATATCATAAATGTCAGCTTCTATCAGTTATTTTTAATAGATCAGTGGAGTGGGCAATTGTCCAAGGATTAAACTGCTAAAAATGCTACTCCTATTTTTAAAGGAGTGATCTGGAAATTTTAAAGGCCAGTTAGTTTTACTTATGTACTTAGAAAAATTCTAGAGACTACCCACTGTTGAAAGTAATAGACATAACATTTTCGAGTTCTGGGAACACAGAAATCAGAAATACTTGTAGTTATTTATAGATTATAGCTTTTATGGAAAAAGTAAGTATTATTTTGCCATTATTAAAGTTTAAAAAGAGTTATTTTAATGTATTTTTTTGCATTAGTTGGGATTGGTCACTTTTAGGTTTTATTACTACAACTTCAAAACTTTAGATATGTTAGAGGGAGGTTTTTAATATGAATAATGACTGGTGAAAGTTAGTTAACCAGTTCAGTGTTAGTTAGCACACTAGACAATGAGAATTGACAAGTCTGTTCATCTCTAATTCAACTAGTAAGCTAGTCAAATTCAATGACGAGGAACCCACTTTGAGACTAATAATGGTTGGAGATGGCTTGCATGGTAATGAAGAAAAACTTTAATATAAGTTTAACATAATAGCAAATATACAACATTTCGACAAGGTTTTGTCGTCATCAGGACTAGTAAGCTAGTCAGTCAGCATGTTTGTTATCAATGGATTAGTGAGGAAAGTTTAGCAAGTAATTTAGGCTTACATTAGCTTCAGAACTTCTATTCAAACATTGCTTGTGGAGTTAGGCCTACCAGTGAACATATCCTGAATAAAGTTATTGAGGAAATAAATCAGTTCATTATTGTTGCATTATTTTTACCAAATAATCCAAAAGCAACCCAATCAATGACAGAACACATTACAAAAAATGTATCAGATTATAGGATATTAAAGTTACTAAATATTTGATTAAACTAAATAATTACCATTTCATTAGTGAGGAAAATTCTTGTTTTTAATTAGTCATGTAGTCCAAATTTGGCTTTTGTTACTAATGGAGTGCCTCAGGATAAGTGCTTGGATCTGTTTTTTCTTGTTTACAGTAATGATATTGACAGCAGCATAATTACTAAATTTGTAAAGTTGCTAATAACAGTAAACTCTTGGGTACTTGTACTGTTCTAGCTGTATTGAAGATAAGTACTACAGGATGGCTTGGATCAATTGGTAAGTCAGACAAGTACCTACAATTATAGTAAATGCAAAGTAATGAAACTGAGATTTCATAATTTGGATCAACCACTTATCAAAGATGGGAACTCATTTATCCAACAAAGAGCATGAAACTCTAAGTCAGTATAACAATAAAGGTATTTCAAGTCAGTTGATATCAAAATTGGTATCAACTACAGAATGAAATTTGTAATGTACCATCATAATACCCAGTCAGAATAGAAAACATTTCACACAGTAGCACTTAAAGATGGAATGTACTTGAACCTAAGATAACAGAAATAGGTATGTTCACAAACTTCAGTTCAACTATGTTATCATATTGAATTTAAAAAAAAAAGTGAAATAACAGTGTTCAACTGTTTTTCATTTTCACTAGTATCAGATTTTTTGAAACAATGATTTTAAGCATAATTTAAGAGTTAGGTACTAGATCAAGTAAATTAAAGAAACTGATAAAAATTTTATTAGAGTTTGGATTTTAGCTCAGGGTTCAACTATGTTATACCTAAATATACAAGCACTTTCAACTGAATTTTTTAAATATCACTACAAGTGAAGGCCTTCAGCAACTATCTGTTTTTATTATCCATATCATACAGATAGTCTTAATGATTCACAATACTAATGTATTCATACTAGAGCCAACAACGGCAATGATAAGTGCATTCAAATTTAACTCAAGTATCACTTTAAATAAACTTGGGGTAAGTTAACATGACTAGCAGTCATGGTGTAAGCATAGCATAAAATTCACACCCAGTATTTCTTACATTTACATTGATTATCCATAATAACCAGAGAACAAAAACCTTGAAATTAAAACAAATGTTACACATTTGTTTTTGCATAGTAAGAAAACTCACAATTTCCATTTTCACAATGCAACAAACATACTTCATGTTACTAAATGTTCTTATTAATATTGTTTGTAAAATTAATTTATTATAAGGTGTGTATCACTGGTTTTTCCCCCATTGAAATAAAGTGATCATTAAGCTAGGACCCTTTTTTTTTTTTTTTTTTTTTTTGTTGAGTGTGGACAACTAACCTCCCTCCCTCCCTATAATTAAAGCACTAAGAAACTTATGGAGTACCCCACCCCCAAAAAAAGGGAAATGCTTTAATTCCTCTAACACAGTCAGACAGCAATGAGGAGACAAATCTCTTTACCAATATTTACAAAAACGCACATGAGTTTGGTTGCGTGTTCCCAACTTTATTTGAAGCCCTCTCTAACCCTAAGTCAGTAAATGGGAACCACAAGTTCACAACTCACAATTTGATAACACTTGGGCTAGAAATATCTGCTGAATGACACAGAACAAAACACGACTTATGATACTATTACTAAGCTGCACTTTAAACAAAATAGTCACGGGAAAATTAAAAAACTCGTTTCATTAAATGTTTACTAACACTATTTGTGTCAGGTTACATTGGAAAAAGCGCAATGATAAATTTCCTTCCCTACAAAACCGATTCGTTTAAACTATTAATTATTAACAGCTAAATAACTCGGTCAGTATAATAAATTAAGTATCATACCGCTTATAGCTGGACGACGTGATACAATATTTGTTATAACAACAGTAGCCACCCCAACACCAGCAAAAGCAACTGGGTAAAAGTACCTTGCAAATACGCTTTCAGACCCGGAAGACATTTTGTCTGATTCAACTAACCTAACACCAACTCACGTACACTGACGATAGTCTTTCTTAAAAATACTTGAATAAAATCTACGATTATATTACATTTAGTACGTCCAGGCGGTTACAAGGGTGCCCGTGCCTCCCTAAATTTACATTTAATAGGTAAGAATATTATACTTTTAGTAACACATTGTCTTGTTTAATAACAGTTATGTTGTTTTTTTTTTACTCTCGAATATATTTAAATAAGTTCTGTTATGTCATATATTTTAATTATGTCATTACATGAAAGTTTGCTTGTTTGTTTGAAGTTAACCACAAAGCTACACAATGGGCTATCTGTGCTCTGCCCACCACGGGTATCGAAACCCGGTTTCTAGCGTTGTAAGTCCGCAGACATACCGCTGTACTACTGGAGGCTTACATGAAAGAAAAACATCTTTGGTCTATAGACACAGGGTATGTCCCTCTAGAAATGTCCGGTGTGGCATACAAATATACTGTTACGTCTCTGTATGTTCGTTTGTAAATTTTTCTGCAATACAAGTCCTTTCTTAAATAAAACTAGTTTATTCTGTCAGCAATTGTAGTTCCGATCTCTGTATCTGCTATCCTCGGTTCCCACCGACCGTAACTGCTGTCCTTCGTTCCCCACTCTCTCTCTCTCTCTCTTTTGTCTAGCGCACTTATAATAATAATATAATACAATAATACCGCCCGCGTAGCCTCTTCGAGAATCTTCTAGACACTCATCACTTGTTACCAGCGTCACTTGACTTCCGCTGTCGTAACACAAACGCTTGCATAGCACGCACTAGCGTTTTTCACGAATCTTCTAGATAATCATTACGTGTTACTAACTTCACGTGACTTCCGCTGTCGTAACACTGTCCCTTCCTTAGTACTGTTCCTCCCGAACAATAGCCACTTAAATTAAACCAATAGATACTTAACAATAACTTAATTAAATGTACAGAATTTACAAACACAAAATTAAAATTCAACAAAGTCTCTTAATTTTATGGGACGTATCTTCTTCCGTACTGGTCTACGTCTCATTGGCTTCTGCTTCACGTGGGGTTCATTTGCTCTATCAGGAATTGTCCTATCATCAGTAACAGTCACATCAGTGGTAGTAACTTCATCAAGGGTTTCAGTGTTTCCTTTCTCAAAACCG